TTATCGTCTTTGTGACCGAACACACGATGTTTGAACCTCTGCATTACTGACATGGTGTTGCCACTGGATGCCAGCAATCCTTCAGAGACAACGATGATCGAACACAGAGAGTCGTCTAACATCCTCAACTCGGAGAGGCCAGATTTCACAAGCATAGAGCAAAACTGCTCTCACCGACGCGTTGTAGATCCGACCTTTTACAGCCAGACTAACATCACGAAGGCGCCAAAGATGGCCCAGATTAGCATAAGCCGCTCTGGCTTTCACTATACGTGCATTGATCTCATCACTCACACCACCACCAGCACTTATGCAGCTACCCAGATACACGAACTTCTCGACTACTTCTATCTGCTCACCATCCAGAGTGAGTACAAGATTAGAATCCTGCCAGTCTTGTAGAAGTACTTTGCACTTCGAGAGTGCAAAGCACATACCATACCTACGGACATTGATTGCCAACTGATTAAGTGCGGATTGCATGGCTTGGGCATTATCGCACAGTAAGATAACATCATCTGCACACTCAAAGTCGACAAGTCTTTCTCCAGGCAGCAGATCCACTCCACCATTACTTACATCCATCAGAGCTGTTTCCAGAATATCATCGATGGCAAAGTTGAAGAGGAATGGTGAGATTGGGCAACCCTGTCTAACCCCACTGCTTGAATGGAACAATAGAGAGAGGTGGTTGTATGCTCTCACTCTGCCTGAGGTGTTTGTGTATAGGGCTTTTAGGATGTTAATAAACTTCTCAGGCACACCCTTCTTCAATAGACAATCCCAGAGAACAGTCCTGTCCAACAAATCGAAGGCAGCCCTGATGTCAAGAAACACTACGATTGTTGGCCTTTGATAAGTATGGCGGTGTTCTAACATTTGATGGAGGGTGAAGATATGATCAATACATCCTCGACCACAACGAAACCCGGCCTGCTCCTCGCGAGTCAATCTTTCTCGGGTTTTGAACAACCTACGAAGTATGACGGAAGCCAATAGCTTGGACGCAATCGGAAGTAGACTTATCCCCCGATAGTTGTTACAGATATGACGTGAACCCTTTTTAAAGATAGGGACAACTATCGACTCATTCCATGACGTTGGAACACTCTCTAGTCCTCAGACCTTTGTAAACAACACAATCAGTTCCTTAGCCAGAAAGTCACCACCACCTTTAAAAAGATCTGGAGGTAAGTCATCTGGGCCTGGTGATTTGTAGCGTTTCAAGAGTTGGAGTTCCTTGCAGACTTCCGCCTCATTTGGTGGATCAGTCGTCACCGGCCATGGAGGGCAGGACAGTCTGACCGATGTTACCGGAGCAGAAGGCCAGTTGAACTGCCCTTCGAAAAGTTCTGCCCATCGTCCAAGACGTCGATGGATGTTAGTGATTGGCGTTCCGTCATCCTCGCAAATTGTTTCGCTCACACCAGACTTCTTGCTGCCAGTGGCTCGGATGAGTTGGAAGAGCTTCCGGTAATTACCAGATGCAACTGCTGCTTCCAGCTCATTAGCACGCTTCGACCACCAGGCTTCTCGGTCCTTACGCAAGCTTTGCCCGATTTCATTATGTAACATCCTTCGTCTGTGGTCAAACTCACGGTCACTCGGAGTAGACCGACGGCATTCGATGGGTTGTAAGGAAACAGAAGAAACCCAGTGCCTATAAGCGGGACGTTTCGCGAAGCCGCAAGCGGCTTTACTCGCCATTTTGATGGCTTCATGAAGTTGTAACCAATGCTCATCTATAATTTTCGGTGGGATGGTAGCTAGCTTGGTTCGATACTTACTAGCAAAAGAGGTTGCAATCAGCTTGCTATCGTCAATCCTTTGGTGGTGGTCACTTCGTTGGCCACTGAAAAGAAAGGTGAGATTGGCGCAGACCAGGGCATGATCAGATTCCAGATAGGTACTCCAAAAGGAGCGGCGGTCTTGTACTTAACCACGCCGGAGGTAGCTGATTGCGATGTGATCAATCTGAGTCCAGGCTTAGGATGCAGAAGGCGGACGCCAGGTGGCACATCGGCGATGACTGTGCCGAAAGTTAGTGCTAGCCAGAAACAGGTTGTGGTCTATGCATAGTTGCAGTAGACGTTCCCCGTTATCTGTCCTGCGACCAACAAGTCCCCATCGGCCACCTAAACGACTCTCTTCTGTGCCTAGACGCCTGACCTGAGCATTCAATTCTCCGGCTAGTACTACAATATCTGTCGAACGCACTTTCTGGAGAAGAACAGATAAGTGGTGGTAAAATTCATCCTTGATTGCATCCAGGCTGCAATCTGTCGGGGTATATGCGGAGATGACGAGAAGACATCGTTTCTCACGCCGATTTCTTCTCGCTTTGATGGAACTTTCTAATCTAACAGCACATAACCGACTGTTAATGGGGATCCAATCGATTAGTGCTGCCTCAGCTCTAGCACTTAGTGCGACACCAACGCCAGCAAGACCAGACGAAGATGCCACAGGGTCCCCGGATAAACGCTCGTAAAACAAGTTTTTTGAAGAGACGGATGGAGAGCAAAATAATAGTACTTCACCGAAGTCTTGAATAAGGGTCTCCGATAGACAACAAACGTCAATATTAAGACTTTCCAAAGACATAGCCAACCCTATCTGTTGTCCGACCTGCATAAGTGCGCGAACGTTGAAGACAGCCAGTTTGAATGGTGCACGTGGTTTCAGAAAGACTGCTTCAGTACTCTTATTCGATGGTAACATACAATTTTCAACCACGCAGTAACTCGAGAAACTTTAGATAGAACCGAGTTTCCACCATAGGCGACCTGCTGTATAAGTCAAAAAATAAGGATACATAAAGTGGGAATAAAAGAGAGTGAATAAATGACGTTATAAGAAAGTAAGTAAGTAAGTAAGTAATTAAGTAACTAAGTAAGCAAGTAAGTAAGTAAGTAAGTGAGTAAGCAAGTAAGTAAGTAAGTGGGTAAGTAATAATAATAATAATAGTGTGAATTGTTTGACTGTAAATCGAAACGAGAATAGAGTTTTCAGTAAATAAAGTCATTTTCATTATATTTGTGTGTGGGCTGTGATACTACCCGGGTGCCCAAACCGAAGCAGGTGGTTTTCTTAGGGAGCCAAACCCCAAGCCTTTGACCTAAAGGTCAGACCCACAAGGCAGTGGAGCATCGTGAGGAGATGCATTCGCATGGTAGCCTTTTGTTCCCTCAGGATATTGGAGCCCATGTACACCATTGGTTTGGGATCCGGTTAAAGCGCCAGACATTCGCTTTTTGTCCTCTCATTTTCGTAAGCTACAGTAATGCCACGTGAAGGCAGTGAGTAGGAGTTCCCTGGCAGAGGCTATATACACGTGGCCACGTGAGAGCGTTTCGAGAGGGAGGGCGGGTCCAGCCCACTCTCGGCCATACCAGGGCATTTAAGGGCAAAGAAAAGCCGGTTACACTCGATATTCCCAGCCGGTCACCCATGCAAGTACTGATCGGGTACAACGTTGCTTAACTGTGGTGACCGGACAAGAACCGGTGCTTTCAACGTGGTATGGTCTCCATAGTAGATTGTTGCTGATAGTGTCTGACTAACGGATCTGAAGTATTTTGAGTAGGCGGCTATTAATAAACATTTGTATCTTCTGGATGATAGCTTTCGTAGTTCTCCAGGTTTCCGCGCCATACTGTTGAACTGCCTTGACATTCGTATCGAAAATTCTGACCTTGGTGTTGGTTGATACCTGTTCCTATCATCTAGATATTTCAACAAATTATTTATTCGTGTTTGTTTTAATACATCATTATATCTATTATTCAGATGCCTTTCTGAAATCTGTACAACTTTTCTTTGTACAAGTTACAAAAACCCCAATCAGAGATGTCGTGGTTTCTGGCAATATGCAGATAAAAGAATGTACATTATGTCGAATTACTGGACTGATAACTCCTAACTGGCGACCGCTCAATATGTTATCGTCAGGATCAACCAAGAGGTAAGCAAACAGAAACGTGTTGAAATACTTTGTACTGAGGATTCTATATTGTACCGAAATAATCGAACCCAGGACCTACCGATTTCGCACGCGAACATTTAACTTCTAGACCACTGAGCCGGCATCTAAAGGTGTTAATGTTTAACTTTAACTAATCCACTGAATTGTGCGTCACATCCACCATTGTCTTCAGTGAGTTACTATCTCACAACAGACCCGCTTGCGCACTGCTGAGAAGTGCCACAATAGGACGGAACGGCCGTCCAGTGCTTCAAGGTTTTCTATGGTGATCTAGTTTCAATTTAGCGAAAACTATCAATTAAGTTTAAGTGTTCATGTACTCCATCATTTCAGGACTAATGTTATTATTAATTAGCTTCTCAAGCCAAAATAGATGAAATACAAGGTTTCTAATTTGTGATTCAATCTACTGAAGTCGATTGGTTTGACTATTAAAATGCAGTTTATAATAAAGCGTTTTTAACTGAATATAAATTTCATTTTTCAATGAAATATCTAACATAAAAGATAGATTATACAACTTAAAGACTAAACTACAATGAATAATACTAATTTGCATATTTTAATTTTTTTTTTTTTGGTAGAATAACTGCTATAATTCAGTGTACTACTACTATTACTACTACATGATAATGGAGTGAAAGCTCATTGATTAAAGTATTCAACTTCCATCTGTCAACTCGTACATTCAACTTATGCTCAACTAACTTCAGTTTAGACAACCAAATGGCTTATAGTCAAGTATTCTATCTGAATTACATGTAACACCTTATTCTATCATCTTTACAACATTGTCACATAACCAGGATAGAATACTCTAATAAGAATAAAGATAGAATACAATACATAACAATGATAGTAGGTCCTGGGTTCGAATCCCGCGAGGTGGGACAGTAGATGCACACTGTTGAGGAGTCCCACACTAAAACAAAACGGTCGTCCAGTTTTTCCATGGTGGTCTAGCTTCAATTGACTTATGATCTCAACAATTGAAATTACAATAATAATAATATTATAATATAATTTAAATTACTTTATTACTGATAAAATCGGATTTGTCATTTTGTTTACAATACATACAACATATGTATGTATAATAGTAATCAGTACAAATATTATCATTAATTATAATGATAAACATGTAAGTCAACATCAATGGAAAGATGAACTAGACTTAACAAGAACGAATAATCACTTTACCTTGAAAAAAAGACAAAGAAGCAAACAAACAGAGAAAACAACAATAACAATACATCTTTTTCAACTGGAAAGATGAGTTAAACAAACAAACAACAACAACAAATAAAGAGTTTGTTGTAGGACGTGAGGGAGGAGGATGAGGAGAGAAGAAGAAATGAAATACCGAAATCAGATAAAGAAAGTTACCGAGAACAAGAACAAAATATCAACAAGAATAATAATTATGGTAGTAAACAAACAAAAAATTAATTATTACACAGAAACTTGGGACACAAACGTACACAGTATTTAGTAGTAGTAGTAGTAGTTAGTAGTGGTAGTAATAGTGAAAATAAAATGGTAGTCAAGTTTCATATTGAAAGACTTATTATCGTAGAGAATACAAAGAAGGAGAGATTGAATATGAAATTACAATAACAATCAAATAGATGAATTAATCCTAAAAGTCTTTTAGAAACAAACTACTTGATAAGAATGAAATTCGCAACAGCCGATTGATCCAGATCAAACTCTAGTCATCTATGTATAGCTGATAGGATAAACATTAAATTGGAAAAAATAAGATAGACACCTACATTAGAACAAGAGAACAGAAATGCATGCACACATGCACTACATAGATTAGAGTAAGCAAACACGTTAACATGTACATTTTGTGCATCTCTCTAAAAGGTAAGTTAAATAGAGTAGAATATAGGCATAAATAAGAAATATTATTCTGAGCTTATGGTGTAAACGTACTTGTTATTAGAATTACAAGTCAATATGTATAGCACATAACAGAGAGAGAGAGAGAGAGATGAAAAAGTGACAGGGAAAATCAAAGAAAAGAGAAGGAATGAAACATTGTGTGGTACCACCTTTTATTATTACTATTATAACTAATGATAGTATATAATGAAAATATAGAACCACATTAGAAAATTGTGAGATAATGGTAACAACACAATTAACTTTTTATTACATGAATAACAAAATCGAAAAGAGAGGTAGTAGTGCATAATTTTTTGAAAGGAGAAACAAAAAATGGATAAAAAAAGGGTAGTAGTAGTAATGGAGAGTATTATTCTTTTTTTTTGTTTTTCTTTTCTAAATCATGAGATCAATATAATGTGATAAATTGTAGATACTGTTTAGACAAATAATAATGGACTATACATAAAAACAAAAAGAAGAAATACATTCATAAGGAAGGATATGTACAAAAACAAGTGTATACGTTAACTTGTTAGATGATAACACTGGAATACGCTTGTATGTGTATATATATGTGTGTGTGTGTATGTGTGCGTATGCGCGCATGTTTTGATCTGATCATGTTGAATGGTTTCATATTAGTTGAAACAAACGAAGAGAAATCAACAAACAAAACTGTTGAAATGAAATGCAACAATATGACGAGACATATAATAATAATAATAGTAATAATAATAATAATATATTGTATACAATAATATCATGTATTTAAAGTTGATTGATCTGGTGAAAATTTCTCTGGATTAGAATATAACACAAAACTATTTAATTCTGATGTTAAATGACCAAGAGCTTCAACCATTTTTGAAGCAAGTTGAGTTAAATGAGTTAATTGTGCTTCTAAATTATGCAATTCTAAAGTAGATGTAGATGATGGATGATTAATTCCAGCACGACGTATAGCTGGACCAGTTTGTAAATCAATTAATGCTAATCGATGATAAAGATGTATTGTTGACAAAAACAAAAAACCTAAACTAGAAAAGAAAATTAAAAGAATAAATGGAAGAATAATAAGTAATGATCATAATGATGATACCTAGATATTTTGTGGCGAGACTATAATTTATGGACGAACCAATTACGTATAAGATAACAGGTCTCAGATTTTGGCATTATAGTTGATGTTAGTTCGTGATGTATATCCGACATCTAATTCCTAACCTTAACCATCAACTGCAAATCATAATTCGAATTCCTCACACAGGTTTATAACCTTCATTTGGTTGTAGTTATTAGATGGACACTCTGATGATCAATCTAGGATCGCTCAAAGGTTGTTCATAAATTATAGTCTCATCCATTTTGTTATCTGAAACTTTAATAATTAAAATAATTGTAACTAACATACATGTACAAGTAGTTGTTTTGTGAGTTAATCAACTTTAGATTAAGTGAATTGTTAATTTAATTAATGATAGTCAAATGTTGAATTTCTTCATTGGCTACGAACTCATTCATAAATAACATTTAATAAAGTCAATCATAATCAATGTAGGGTCTGGTATATAAGCCCGTTAACCAAAGCTGTCATAAAATGTTGAGACGGGTAAATGAATAATAAATGAATGGAAATTATGTAGTAGTGATGATAATCAGAAAAGTTAATCATTGAGAATATGATTCTAAAAGAGAGCAATAAAAGATATATATGATGTGATATTGGAGATCAATATTTAAAGGAAGATAAAGAGTGAATGAACCCGTCTGATTGTAGACGATTCTGACCTATCACATCTAATGTTTCCAACTACTGACCGTGGTTATTATGTGAACACTAACCAGATAGATAAAACTATCTATCTTCAAGGTTCAGACAAACGCTCAATGACTACCTCTATCATTCTCCCAGCATAGTTTTACATTAATCATCAAAGTAGATGGTGGTTAAACATTGCCATCTTAGTCGATGAGGATTTACAGTTTAGTCAACCGATTTGTTGTACTTACTTCCTAAATTGTTCTATGATACAGAAGCAATGTTTCGAAGACACATGATTCGAAACGTGAAGCCTACGTATATCTTTTGTTTCCATACACATTTGACAACTGTAAAGCAAAACAGATCGAACAGTTGTGCAGTATACTCCCTCTTTGGTTTGCAGATAGACATCTTGACTATCCCATAAAAGATGAAAGTTGGCAAACGCCCACTGAGTTTTCTGTATCCGTGTTATGATTTTATCAAACTATACTACTAAACTAGCTATTCTATTCTCTACATAGAGGTGAATAGAATAGGATTTCAAGTTTACAAATAAGTTATTGGAATTCCAAAATTTTATGCCTTTTAGCCATTGCTCCATAGTATATGTAAACACTAAGGGAATTGATTAAAATATTGGTCATACAACGTATCTGTCAGAAATGTTACTGTAGTGTTTAAGATATCAAGTAGCAAGTAATAGGCTTTGGAACCACTAATCTACAAGATATCATTCAGTGATTATCAAACATTGGACAAATGAAGAGTTCATTTATTGTGTGCAAGTATTAAAGGCTTTAAGCTATATTTTTTCGTGCATGAGGACTATAGAAGTTGAAATAGACTAAGAATAGTTCAAATTTATGACCTAACAGTTGGAAGCTAAATAATGCATTAACAACTTATTCACAGCTTCATTACTGTTTCGAAAAGAAGGACACTACTTAACTAAACATAGAAACACAAGATTATAACAATGACATTGAATATGTGCAAAAGATTCAAGAAAATCGATATCAAACTAGCGAAATATCAGTCGATGTAGGAGGAATAATAGGAATAAAATGTCGTGGTCTTGAGCGCTGTTAGAGGTATGAGAGCGGTTATCACTTCCCGGTCGCCCACACCGTGGAAGTGTTCTCCTGGAGGTACCTGAAAAGGAGGTGGTCTTAGTGACCCGAGGGCGTGCTCAAGGGATAACTGCTCGGGGTCGGTCACACACGACCTTTCTATGAGTCATTTTCATGTTAGCTCCGTACTTGTTGAGACCTTGCCTCCGGAGACAGATATCCGTGGGATAAGGTGGTGTGTATTTTTAGGGTCGACGTTTTATAACCCCACCCCTCTTTGTGGGAAATCAGCATCGCTGTTACGCTGGTTGTCTGAAGGAAACACCTTATTGCTGTCACACCTCTGTACAGTTAGCAATACGACTTTGTTTTCGGACCTGGGGTTTATTGCTTTTAGTCTTACCGCTCTTCAACCGACCTGCCTGGCATGGTAGGACCTTGAGGAACGGTTGTTCCAGCCAGTATAGCTCAGTTGCTTCATCACGATAGGCAAGCCCGACCACCACGTCAAGGTAGCAACAACGGTTGGGATTAGTGAAACTTATAAATGATTTAACAATTACTCACGATTGTGAATATATATACCCTGGAAGGGGATAATTTAACACTGGTTTTCAGAAGAACAAGACACTATCCAGTCTCTTTATAATATGAACAGTACAGCCTAATCGTGTGGTACAACCACACAGTTAATAAGATCATTGATGGATTAGTGGTTCAACAACCACTCATAAAATAATTAACCTTATGGTAACTTTTATAAACTGAAAAAAACATTCCCTATTTTCTCAATAGCAAATCTTTCAACTTATTACTACTGTTATATTAATGATACCGGATAGCATTAGCAACAGCCTACTGTGGGAGAGGACAAACCAGATTCTAACTTAAGAGGAAATTAGGAAAAGTAGTTGGAAGTGGATAAGACATACATTACGGAAGTCAACAAACTGCATCACAAGGTAAGCTTTAACTTGAAATCCTGAAAGGAAACGGAAGAGAGGGAGGCCGAAGAGCACACTACGTCAGGAATCGGAAGCAGACATGAGAAGGATGAATAGCAAGTGAAAAGAACAGGGAAAGTTTGACGAGGATAGGGTCGGATGCAGAGTGCTGGTGGAAGCCCTATGCTCCTTGACGAGGGGTAACAGGTGTAAGTAAGTAATATTGATTATACGATTACATCATAATGGATATATTGTGATTAGTAGTATGAGTACATTTCAGTTCGTCAAGTATTGAGTAGTAACCAATGTCATGTTTATCTTGTCCTTTAGTACTGACCAAATTCTAACAACCAAGTTATGATGTGGCCGTTAATCTGATTGATTCAATGTCGGTCACTATTTAGTGATTATTCAATCAAAATATCAGTCCTACAGTAGCTGCTCAAGTAACTCAACGATACTTCAAACTGTAAAGTTGAGTGACACGGATTCGGATCACATAAGGAATATCATTTCCATGAAGATTATAGGCATGCACCTTACTGACGGGTACTAACAAGTATGAAACGCAGGTCTATAGTGTCCTCCCGACTAACTACAATCACGTAACATCTCATCAGTGCTTTAAAAAGGACAAAGCAATTGTGTCCGTTTTATCGCTACTCTATCGATAATAACTTACATGTTTCCTACAAAACTTAAAGATGTTTTTCATTACAAATTGATATCAGCCTCAGTGACTTATTGAAAATCAAGAAGTACTGGGGAGTTGTCTTGTCTTAGTATGAGAATTCTTTGGCAATAATAAATCCATACATAAGAATGAATTCATTATTTATTTATTTATTTTAACACATAGGTATTGCTACAAGGAGGCACCAAATACATATGCGCCACACGAATCTCAATTGATTTGTGTGAGGGCTGTGATACTGCCCGGGTGCCCAAACCGAAGCAGGAAGAATGAATTCAATAATTAACAGATCTCTTCGGAAGAGTACAGTATTTCTAAGTCAATGATTAGTATTCTATTGGTACTCGTCTGTTTGATCTTAGTATAATTATGTTGAATATTCCCTGTTGATGGATAAGTAGTAAACTAGATCGAAACAACTGTTTAGTTCTTTTCGATTAAATTTACAAAAATATGGTATGTAATAAATGTCATTAGTAAAAATTGCATAACACTTACATGGCATATGCAATCATCATGGTAAATCTTTGTGAAGGAGAAGCATGAAACAGATAGGTAAGGACATTAAATGGCCACCAATTCCAATCAGTTGAAATGGTAACATTTGGTCTATTAAAATCAAACTTATTACTATTATTAATATTATTAGTATTGACTGTTTCGTTGTTGTAAGGTTTAGTATGTTGATAAACTGAAGTATTATTGCGTTTCATAGGGATATTTGAAGGGGTTGAAGTGGAATATAGATTATTTACAACTGGGCTGGTAGTATTGGAATCATCATTACATTGAGTAACAACATTGGATCCAATATCGACATTTTTATTTGTTGTTTCTTCATTTAAATGATTTAATTCAATGGAAGATGGTTTACGAACGTTCAGACTGAATTTACGAATTGAAGATTCTGAATTGTTAATAAAAATACAAACAGTACATAAATATAAAACTTATACTGATTCGATATGCTTTACAGAGTAAATATAAATCAAAAGAGAAAAAAATTTGATGAACCTAATTCACTGAAAAAATATAGAGTTCTTTGTAACAACATTATGATACTCTGTGGCAGAGAATCTGAGTTTCGTTGAAATAATGAACCGATCAATGTTAGACCATCACTGAAAACCTAGAAGCTCTGTATGGTTGTTTCGTCCTACCATGGGACTCCTCAGCAGTGCATATCCGCGACCCTGAACGCGGAACTACAGTACTTCCAGGTTTCCAATGGCGGTCTAACATCGATAGACCAATGATTTCATTCAAATTGAACAAACTCCACAATCCTATACTTATAATATGAAGTGAATAAAGCTTTTGTATACTCACGTCATTAGATATTAAATTTTACATACGAAATTTATGATGTATTCATGTCCCAAGTTCTACGTTGCGTTTGAATGACTAACTGGGTACAACGTTAAATAGGCTGTAGCTAATCTGAAGCGAAGGAGAGCAACAAGATTTAATAGATTGAATACTTAGTATTAAGCTATCCAACCATATTCAGAGACAAGAATTCGAATGTTTGTTCAAGTGAATTAGAATTTTTATGGAATGAGTGGATTGTGGTTATCAGTGAAATCCGTAACGAGTATTTCGTCCTACTTGGGACTCATCTTTTATTAGAAGTGTTTGTATTATTCCAGTGTTAGTGCATAAACAAGGGCTTAAACCCAGCACCCTAAACTTCAAATACCCAGTGCATTATCCATTGGGCTTCTGTATTCAGATAGCTACTAGTTTGGTTAAACGAGTATGAATTCGATTTAATATAATATAAAGGCTTGAACTATCACGTTAGTGATATTCGTAACTGAATTTGATCTATCATAGTTGATATACATGCAACCTGTGTAGACTGCTTCAAAGTATTCATCTTGTCACAAATTTTATACACAACAGATGGATTGTGGTTGATAGTGGAATTTACAACCAATACAATTCAAATTGAATCATGGTTATTTTCCAATGATTAAGTGACGTATGTAGAATATCTAACCATTCAAATACCAAACATAATTTTACATAGCGTCAGAATAAAAATGAAACATTATGTGACAAAACTATTAAGACATCAATTTATGTATCTCTGATATCTACTAACTCATTCAAACTCATGCAAATAAAATCAGTCATTGAATGTTTACAACCAATTACTTGGTTATGAATGAAGTATCATTATGATAGGCTTTATACAAAACTTCCCAATTCCCACATTCATTACATCAATAGTCACATTAACAACAATGAATATATTCATCCATCAACTATTCTCACTAATATATTATTGATATAGGGAAATGAAATCAAGCATTTGATTAATTGAAAAGAAAATAATCGATATATCCAAGTATTGCTTACAATAGATTGACAATATCAAATCAAATTTAGACATTTATAAATAGTTTACAATTCATCAACACCATATTGAATGAAGTGCCCCCAAATGCCCTGGTACGGCCGAGAGTGAGGAGAGTCCGCTCTCCCTCTCGAAATGCTCTCACATGGCCATGCGTATATAGCCTCTGCCAGGGAAGTCCTACTCACTGCCTTCTCGTGGCGGGGGTGTTCTTTACGAAAATGAGAGGACGAAAAGCGAATGTCCGGCGCTTTAACCGGACCCCAAACCAATGGTGCACATGGGCTCCAGTATCCTGCGGGAACAAATGGCGTATGAACCAATCGTTGGTCACCGGCTACCATGGGACTGCATCTCCTTACGATGCTCCACTGCCTTGTGAGTCAGACGTTCAGGTCAAAGGCTCGGGGTGTGGCCCCCTAAGAAAACCACCTGCTTCGGTTTGGGCACGCGAGCAGTATCACAGCCCTCACACAAATCAATTGAGATTTGTGTGGCGCATATGTATTTGGTGCCTCCCTGTACCTATACTTATGTGTTAAAATAAATAAAATATTGAATGAAGTCACATTAGAAAAAGAAAAAATAAAATAAAGTACAATATTTTATCGATACATTAGTAGTATGTTAGAAATCTATATAACAATGAACAATAGAATAATCTATAATCTTTACTTGTTGACTAAACAAAATACTATCTTATAATAGTTGATAGTTTATATTTGTTCTGTTTAACAATTTAGGGAAATAAAGTACAACATTAAAAGGGATATTTATTCTTATAGATGAAAAAAAAAAAAATTATTTTGTAAAAGTAATCAAAACTATTTGATTGTTTAATGTACATTTTCTTTTAGAGAGTAACAATTCAAATTGTTCTAATCATAATTAATAAAGTTGAAGAGAAAACGTTAATTATCAAACAGTTAATTTAAGTATAAATAAAAATTATAAGCGACCTTGGTACGGTCGTGAGTAGAGAGAGCTAGCTCACCCTCTCGAAATGTTCTCATGTGATCATGTGCATACAATTAATGCAAGAGAAATTAAACATACTGCCTTCTTGTGGTATTGATGTTGTTTATGAAATTGAGAAGACGAAAAGTGAATATCCAGCGATTTAAACGGGTTGTTGGATATGGAGGATTCACCTAGAGGAGTTAGAAAACGCTAATTCCAAACCAATGGTGTACATGGTCTCCAGGATCCTAAGCAAACAAATAGCGTATGAACCTACTGCTATTCACCGGCTATCGTGAGACTGCATCTCCTGACGTTGCTCCACTGCCTTACGAACTAAACCTTCGGATCGAAGGCTCCAATTGTGGCCCCCTAAGAGAACCACCTGTTTCGGTTTGGGCACCCGGAAATTATCCCAGCCCTCACATGAATTGAATGATTTATGTGGCGCATATCTGTTTAGTGCCTCCTTGTACCAATATTTGTGTTTAAATAAATATAATACTACTGAACTAACCACTAGAAAAGGTGAGTACAAAGTCAGTGTGTATATGTCAATCTAGCGGAACGTTTATGAGAACTACATTAATTAATAAGATAATGATTATAAACTGTACTATAATTAATTTTAATGACTAAAATATCATTAAATAGGTAAAATCACATTATACGGATGACTTAAATCGACTTAAATTGATGTGGAATTCTACCCGGTTAATAGCAGATAAAAATATAGAGTTGATTTTCAGAGTTACGTTTGGGATACACTAAGATTAACCGTACACTCTGGCTGTAATCCTAAACATTAACCCTGAAATGTAAAAAAATGATCTAAATCCCCCTAGCCCTAATTCTATTAAGGTAACTTGGAATTATAATTGTAAACCACGATACTAACCTTAAAAATTAACGGTTACGAACCTATAGGTAACTTGGAAGAGTTCATTCATGATGTGAAAATAGTAAATCCCATTACAAGTTCTTTGATTTTGTACCATTATCCATTTATTCATATTTACTGCTTGCTGGTGCATTAAAACATGTTAAAATTTCAAGATCATCTGGAAATATACCTTAATTTTGTGCCCCAACAAACCAACTTTAAATCAGCACAAAAAGAGGTACGACCAAATGTAAAGATAGCCCACTTTCCCCCTCAAAATGCTCTCGTATGGCCACGCGTGTATATCTATTGCCAGGGAAGTTTTACACACTGATTTCTCGGTGTCGTTTACGTAATTGAGGGGACGGAAAGTGAATTTCCGTAACTTAAACCAGGTTGGTTGGTACGGAGGATCCAGCTAGAAGAGTTGATAAATCCTGACTCCAAACTAATGGTACACATGGTCTCCAGGATCCTGAGGAAACGAATGGCGTATGAACCTATTTCTGATCACTGGCTACTATGAGACCACATGTCCTGACGTTGCTCCATTGCTTCGTGGATTAGACACCTGAGTCAAGGGTCAAGGGCAGTATCCCATAAAAATCCGATGATTTGTGTGGCACATGTGTATTTTGGTGCCCCATTGTACCAATAGTTTGTGTTTAAATAAGCAAAATAGCCACAGGGATAGAGAGAGTAAGTATTAACAGGATGAGAAGCAATGCATATGAAGCATCATTTGATTAAAAACTAACAAGGAATCTGAATTACGTATTTCATCTTATTTGACACTTATTAGGTGTAGGATATAGCTAGCTGCACACAAAGACTGATCAATCAAATCGAGTTCTAAATTAAAACGAGGGAATACAACCTTTACCAATTAATAATGAACATGAACCAGTTTACACATATACTTATGTATGTATCACAGCCCTCACACAAATCAATTGAGATTTGTGTGGCGCATATGTATTTGGTGCCTCCCTGTACTTATACTTATGTGTTAAAATAAATAAATAATAAATATGTATGTTAATTACCCACCTTGCTTTTTTACACCGACGACGCTATCCGTTTCACTATTGCTAATACTTCCTGTGGCACCACCACTGGTACTTGTTAAACTGACAGTAGTTGAACCTTTTGAAATCAGCAAACGATTGTAGAGATCACTTATAATTGCATTTGGGTGAGTTAAAGGATCATTAGTGTTATTATTATTGTTAGCAAATAATCTGTTAGCTGGAGAACTTCCATACGATGTAGAAAAACACTGGAAATATAAACAGAGAAAGAAGTAGAATATAAATATAATACACTACACATATGTACACGAACAACGCGTCAATTTATCTCAGTATTGTTGGTGAAAAAGGAGAGTTGACATGTTTTCCTTCCTATATACATAGATGAAATTGAGAAAGCTTGATGCCAATCGCTACTCTGAAGTGGGGTAAGTTCAGAGTTATCGAAGGTGTTCACTTTGCGTCTGGCGATAGCATTCATGAAATATTTGATCCCACTCAAGTATAGGTTTCGAGAAATATACTCGGAAAAGTTTGTAAAATTCTTCCTATATATACTTGCTTAGTACAGTACCTATGAATTCGTAAATTCAGATGATCTTAAAAGAGTACTGATTCATTTTTGAATGGTTTGACGATCGGTTGGTGTTATATTATGAATATTATTCGAATAGAATAACTCCATCTAAACGCCGTCCTAATTCTTCCTGAAATCTTACCCTTACCTAAACTAACATAAAAACAAGTTTCCGCTGACAATGTTCCATATTTCGGAATGAATTCCTGAAGAAATACTTTTAGGTCCAGCATTTTTACTCCAGTATAGTGTTTTGACTAGACTCCATTTAGAATTAATAGGATAAGAACTATTAGTCTACGTGTACTGTATCATTCATTGTTATTAGTTACTCATATTCTCCAGTTTCATTTATTGTTAGTTAGGATTACAGAAAAGTATTTCATTGGATCTTATTTAGCGCCCAAAGTACACACTAACAAACACATTCCAGAACATTTTCTAAAGGATATTACACATTTTTTATTATTAACTGACAACAAACTTAATAGACATTTATGATACATTGAAGTTGAGTGGGAAAAATGTGCTAAGTGTGGATTAGCCTATAAATATATAAATTTACGGAAGTGATTGTTTCTACCTAACGTTTGACATCAAATACTTCCGTGAAACATAACTCCATTACTTTATTTCCTCATTGACAACCTACAAGTTTATCAACATCTGAAACCACCTTTTCGAACTCATAATGTTAGGTTGAAGAATAAATTATCAGACCCAAGACGCTTTACATTTCGCAACTACAATTTAACCAGGAACCAGCTTTTTATAAAACCCAAATTCGCTTTAAAACTACTGAGGTTTCCTTGACCTAAAACATTATAATTATTGTGGTTTAGAGTTGAAAAAAATGGATCGAAATGGCTATCCGGCGAGACTATAATTTGTGGACGAACCAATCAGGTATAAGAGAACAGGTTTCGGATTTTGGTGCGAAATTCAATCATCAATTCGGCTAAATAGTTTTAGCATTATTGTTTATGTCAGCTCATGATGAAAACAATAAATATGACCCCTAACCTTGACTATCAACTCTAAATCATAATTCGAATTCATCACACAGGTTTGTAATCCTCATTTGGTCCTAGTTATTAGGTGGAAACTCTGAAGGTCAGTCTAGGGTTGCTCGAAGGTCGCCCGTAAATTATTGCCTCACCGGCTATCCTACACAGAGAATTCTAAAGCTCCAGTATTTTAGGGTAGCTTCTAGAGCTGTTATAGTGATAAAAATAACACCAAACACCATTAAAGAGCGAAAGCAATTCGAAACAATTTAAAACTGGAATAATTATAGCTAAAATAACATATCAAACGGAACGAAATGTGGCCGAGGATGTGGTTAAGACGCGAGCTGGTAGTTTTTCTGATAAGTTACTACTAAAGTCTATTAGAATACTTAAACATGAAACGCTACTGCATAGTACTGGTTAGTCAAGCGTTCACTAAGTATGGAGAAGACAGCAAATTTAAATCAAAAGGGAACTACAATTACTGAAGACAAAAACCATCGTGCTTTATAAGTAACAGGACACATAAAAACTTGCCTTTTCTTTTAAAATGACCTCCCAATAATTGCGTAGAAAAGCTATAGCTGAGTCTGGTCGTTCAAAGTTAGCCAAAGTGTACGTCTCCTGGAAGATAATAAATATTATTTGTGGTTAAAGTCAAAAATAAATTTTAAACCGTACAAAGAGCAACAAATGTTGACAAGAAATTCGGTATACAAAACTTACGTTGCTAGTGGTATGTATATTTACATGGTGTTCATTTTGGACTTTAAGTTCAGCGATTTGATTGTAGAGAAGTGCTGTCTAAACGAAAACTATGAGAAGTAAAATCACATACCAGCATTTTTCGCTTCGGACGATGGACAAGATTTAAGGCCGAATGACAAACGTATAGCTTAACAGGAGTATTTATATTCTGACTCATTAAATCACACTTATAAGCTTCAAGGATAAATGTGCGATTTTTCATGACAAACCTTTAATTACAGCATCATCTTTAAAATACTTTCGTCGTATTTTCTTTTGCATTGCACTAGATCTTACAGGATCGGCATTGCTGGAGAGCAGCTTCTGAGGTTCGGAGTCCTGAATCATATCCGCTGTTTGATAGTATACTTCAAGATATAAATCCAACGTATGACAAATGATGTGCTGACGAAACCACCAGAAGGCTCACAAGACCCTGTAGTCAATCATTATAAATGCGACCAGTCGCCCAATGTATCACCCGATCGACCTTTCACAGCCTTGACGTATGAAGGACAGATAGTAATTGATTATTATGAACAAAGAGTTCATGAAATATTTTTTTGTCACTGCGACTCTTATAAACTGGATAAAAAACTGTCTGATGACTAAAACATTTATTGTCATGGTGTTTTAGAATTTTTAACATTAAAGATTGCAAGTACGTTGAAAAATAATTATGTGATTATACTGGTGGTTCATCAGTACAACAATCCTTCATGTGGAAAATAATTGTTTATAAAGTATTTTCCAACAGGAGATTGATTCCAACCATGAACTAACTAATAAAGATGATTAATAACCGACCGCAAAGATAAATATTTCTAGTCGCAGTTTTATACTGAGCGATCAAGATAGGAGAACCCCACTTGTAGTAAACAGAGTAAAATCGGAGGTTGAAATTTTTGTAGCTGTTGGATGATATATTCTGAAGGTAGTGGATTACTTAACCAAATAAAATAGAAGTGTGATGTCCAAATCAAGGCAGGAAGTACATCATCACCTAATGTCCTGGTAAACAGGAAGTATATTCTTTGAAGGTTGAATTGACCATCTGTCTACAACCTCAAAGCCGATCAGTTTACTTCTTAGTGTAAAATTAAGGATTCAGACTTAAAATAACCTTTCGCCGCCCTTTTCGAGTTAGATTTTACCGACTATTATAGCTGCGTGTTGTTGATGAATTAACGGTTTTATTTAGCTTGACTTATCTTTTGTCGAGTAATCTCATTAATAACAGCGTGGATATTAAAACCTGAGTGCAAGTTATATTTAGGAAAAGCATATTCGATGATAAACTTTTTCAAGGCCGTTCCAGGGTTACTGTCGATCTTAATTGCCGATAAAGGAGGGGAGATGTGGTGTTGTTATCACATAACCCGTACAAAAGGAATCTTACTGAATATACACAAACCATATCCCTTGCACGTGAACAGTAGGCGGCAGAGATGTGATGATAGAAAATTACGTAAAAAAGAAGCCTTCAAAAATGGTTTTTGAAATTGTTGTTATACAGAGCTAAGGGAGAAATACTTAAGCGGACAGTCGTGGATGAAACGAGGATCTTGATGTCGATGTACACTGAAACACATACAACAGAGTACATGCATTGGAAATCACGTTATAGAGTCCTGTTTGGCAGTACTGCACTCTTTACCTGAATTTCTCCTGCCTTTCAGTTTTGGAGATGCAAACTTCTGTCCAGGACTTAGTAGTCCTACGTACATAGTTCTCAGTCTTCTTTAGACAAATTTTTAATAATTAATTCCATTAAAATTTACCAACAAAATTTCGTTTTGTTATTACATGATACTGGATTTTTGACGACAAGGTCATGTATTATCGGACCCAAGATTTCTCAATGAAGCAGTTGCTGGTTGTTTAATCCGAGCCATCTGCTGGATGCGCTTACTATTTGACTGGCTCTTCTGAAGTTTTTATAGTTTTTGTTTGGAAATAGTCTTTTTGATTTTCAAGCATCTAAGAGCAGTTTTTAGTAACGGATATTCGATAAGCTGTGAAGTACATCAATTTCTGGAGATGCTTAAAACAGACTCGATTTGTAAGTAGTTTTGTCCTTATTCGTAATTTTTCATAAATTTTTTCATTCCGTACGAACAGTACATAAAGTACGAAATTTTGTTTCACTCGATTTTCAATGTTACTGTAAACCACTCTCATGTTAAGCTGATTACCGTTATAACAATACACTCGTTCGCATACATACGTCTTCCTGACATCTTTTGGCTACCGTTTTCTAACAGTGTTGGTGATCCCGTCGCATGCGTTTTAGATCGTGTTACAGAACACATTTTCTGTTAACTAGATACGGACACTTGTGCTGTATGACTGGAATTCCTCGGAATTATTTTTCTGACGTCATCATAATTATATGTATACATAAATTTTGAAATATGAACATACCTTTCTTACAGTATCAAGTGACTGATGTATGTTGTGTATAAATATGTTTGTTGTTGCATTCTATTAACTCGTTCATTCTGTACATATTTTGAGTATTTTCAGGACTACAGTGTAATTCGGCACTAGTACATTTATTTTCACTACTATAATAATAGACCTAATCCCAACGTTGTGAATTTGTCATGATGTGACTACATAATCTATAAGATTTTAAGTTAAAGTCATACTATTCCCCATACTGACTCGTCCTATTGTGACACTCAGCAGTATGATGTCTATCTCTTCTGAACAATGCATTTAAGCTGGGAAGTGAATATTTGACACAATAAGCGAGAGGTTATGTCGCTGTGCCTGCATAAACGAGTCATGCCATTTCGATTTATTGTTGCCGCGCTCATCATTACTGACCTCTCCGTGTAAAATATTGGATGATAAATTTTTCAGTTATCTCATGTTCATCTTTGAGAATCGCGTGAACCAATACCAATACATATGTAGTGACCTACTTTTGTCAACAGAACGCGATCGGTTCGATGAAAACAATTATTATTATAACCAATTGTACCAGTGACTGTTTTACTGTGCTCGTTTGTTTAACTGTGCTAATGACAGCCATATACTTACTCTCCCGTTGACTTCGAACTTGTACGAATCCGGTTACGCTCAGTAACCACACTTGTACTCCTTTGGCACGATCTCGGTATTCTTTCGATACCACGAGATCGCCAACAAATACATCTCAACTACAGCCATCATCTGTCTTCTGATGTTGACCTACGGGGATCTTATTGGTTAATTGGCACGTAGTCTTGTAGCGGTGTTCATAGTCAAGCTCAACTCGACACCACGCTACATTTGGTGAGCCAAATATTGGAACACGCCTCAACCTCGGTCAAATCTTTCAAAGAAGGCAATTCGGTGAGTCTATTGTTTTATCTATCCACGTCTGTCATATATTTTCATATTAATTTTTAATATATAATATATTTGACATGACGGATAACGATAAGAATAGTATTAATATAATAGACTCCGATGTACGCGTACCGAATCCTCGGCACTTTTTATTCGCGTGACGATAAATTCCACGCCTTATTCGAGAAATTCCCCAGATTAACTAAACCACTCGAGGAGATTTCATCGGTGACCAATCGTGTGGTACACCACATAGTCACCCGCGGACCACCAGTCACGGCAAGACCACGCCGACTGGCACCGGACAAATTAGCTTTCGCTAAACGTGAGTTTGACAATTTACTATCTGCTGGTATTATTCGTCCTTCTCACAGTCCTTGGGCCTCTCCTTTACACATGGTGCGCAAAAAGGATGGAGTTAGTTGGAGACCATGCGGCGACTACCGAGCATTAAACGTAGTTACGCGCTTTGATAGCTACCCCATCCCCCACATACACGACATCACGGCATCGCTCAAGGGCACGACTATCTTTTCTAAAATCGATCTGGTACGAGCATATCACCAGATCCCAGTCGCTCTTGAAGGCATCGAAAAAACTGCTATCACGACTCCGTTCGGTCTGTTTGAGTTCCTACGAATGCCATTTGGATTACGGAATGCTGCTCAAACTTTCCAAAGGTTTATCGATATCATAGTACGAGACTTGGATTTTGTTCACGTCTATATTGATGACCTGCTGATCGCATCATCAAACGTAGATGAACATTATCAACACCTTACGCTATTATTCCAACGTCTTTCGGATAATGGAATAGTAGTCAACCCAGAGAAATGTGAATTGGGTAAATCAGAAATAATATTTCTGGGTCACATCATCAAACAAGAGGGTATTCTGCCTTGCGAGGACAAAGTTCGAGCAATCAAGGAGTACAACGTGCCGTCCTCAATCAAGGAACTGAAGGCTTTTCTCGGTTTGATTAACTTCTACCGACGTTTCATCCCTCACGCGGCAGAACGGTTACGACCATTAACCGATTTACTACGCGGTAATCCACGCAAATTAGAATTGAACGATACCGCACGTACTGCATTCTCAGAGATCAAAACGGCTCTCGCTGAAGTTACACTTCTCGCTCATCCTGACCCATCAGCCACGCTTAGTATAGCGGTTGATGCATCGGATTTTGCCATAGGAGCCGTTATGCAACAGAATATCTCCAGTAGTTGGCAACCGCTCGAATTTTTCTCACGACGCCTTACTCCCACGGAGACGAGATATAGCGCTTTTGGTCGCGAGCTACTTGCAGCCTACTGCGCCATCAAACATTTCCGGCACGCAGTAGAAGGACGTCAATTCATCTTATTCACCGACCATAAGCCCTTAACGTATGCCCTGCATACCAAGTCTGACGGCTACTCACCACGAGAGTGCAGACATTTGGACTATATCTCCCAGTTCACGACAGACCTTCGTCACATTAAAGGCGAGTCGAACTATGTTGCCGATGCTCTTTCACGTATCCAGACGAATGCAGTTACCTTACCGGTGCTCGATCTTCCTGCTATGGCCGCCGCACAAGCAAACGATCCTGTCTGTACAGAAGCACCACAATCTTCGTCCCTTCAGTGTCAGGAAGTACCCCTAGCTACTAGCTCAGGTACTATCCTATGTGATATTTCTACCGGTCTACCTCGACCCATCGTACCCTCTAGCTATCGCGGTCTCGTCTTCGATGACCTTCATGGATTGTCTCATCCAGGTATCGCAGCCACATTACGTCTCATCGCTTCACGATACGTCTGGCCGTCCATGAATAAAGGTGTTCGTATGTGGGTAAAGCAATGCTTACAGTGTCAACGATCAAAAGTGCACAGGCACGTAGCTGCCCCCATTGGCACGTTCGCTACGCCTGATGCTCGCTTTGATCACGTTCATATAGACATTGTAGGACCATTGCCACCATCGCATGGGTATGATCACATACTCACGTGCATTGACCGTTTTACAAGATGGCCCGAAGCTATTCCCATCACGTCTATCACGGCGGAGACAGTTGCTCACCGCTTCGTAGAACGATGGATAGCATTGTACGGTTGTCCCTCGACTGTCACGACTGACCGAGGACAACAATTTGAGTCCGCATTATTCTCCTCATTGACTCGGCTGCT